ACAATTTGATGTAAAAATATAACCCTTTTTAATACAAGTGATACTATTTCTCATTCCAAAAGAAGATGACAGGACCAAAAATTTCGAATACAAGTGATACTATTTCTCATTCCAAAAGAAGATGACAGGACCAAAAATATCAGGGATTTTAACACCCTCAAATGGACCAGCTGTTTATGGAGGGGCCCTGTGTTGTACACCTTCAATTATCTTGTATTGTTAAAAGAAGCAAAACAATTTAGGCTCATCAGGAGAAGTAGAAAGTTCTCACGAAAGAATTCCTTTGATTTTCGTCTTCTGATCTTCTGTTAATGACTTGGGAAATTGAACTTCGAATGTTACATACAGATCTCCCTTCTTTGTACTCAGGTGCAAAGGCATACCTTCTCCTTTGTATTTCCTCACCTCTTTCGGTTTAGTAATTCCCTGAATGTGCCAAAATTTTATTGTTTAAGTCAAGGTTAATGATCATCGACCGGTGCAAAATAACCAAAAGGGAGAGATAGAAACCTTTGTGCCAATTTCTACTGGATGCTCGTCTAGATGTTTGATGGTCTTCTCGAAACCTACGAGAGCTTGGACCTGAAAAGAAGAAGAAAATTAGAAGGAAAATTTTTAGATGATCAAGTTGTTTGGGGTTCTCTTCATTCTGTCATCATCGTTAATACAAAGTAATAAAAAAAACTGCAACGAATAAAGACATTGCCCGCAACAGTTACTATTTACTAGTACTAATTTATTTGAGTTGTCAAAACTTAGTGGAAATTGAATTGAAGTGTTTAATATGGAAAATGTGAAGCCCACAAAACAATTTAGGCCACACATTTGAATAGCTAACAAAACTAGCAAAAAGTATAAAAATAGCAACTCAATGAGGAAAATAACAAGTCAACTTCTTTTCACTGTGTAAGAGATAACAACAGTCTTTTCCTCAATTGAATCCCAATTCTTGGCATTATCATATGATGATGAGACTATTCCACTTGTTATGTGGCGAAAATGGATTTATAGCGCATGTAGACATTTAAAAAAAACCCTATGAAAGTCAAGCAAATAAGTTCTTCGGACATTCCCACGTGAGATGATATACACTAATGTTCCTAAATAGAAGTCTCTCGTCTAGAAGACAGAAATATTGATGCAATCATAGTATATCCAGGGTTTAGCAGCACATATGCACAAAAAATACTTCCTAGGGTTTTGACTGATGGTCAGAAAACTTGTGTACATAAGGATATAGTCTTGATTGTCATTTACTATATGATTGCTTTATGTTAAGTATGTGGTCCTTATTCATATTGTTTGCAGTTTAAATGATAAGACAGTTATCAGTGCTCAAATTAAGACGAAATAGTAGCAGTTTTCAGGAAAAGTCATTACCAATGAAATCGTGACGGTTGTGTGCAGATTATTTCCTTCCCTTCTGAAACGATCATGTGGTGCTGTTTGGATCCTAAACTGCTTGCAAGAATACATTGTTTCAGGGGAAAAGAAAAAAGGAAGGTGATATAAGGTAAAAGTTAATGATTTCCACAAGGTAGTAAGCATCACCTTCAAGTCACCAGCTTCACCATCAATTTTAGGTTCACCATCTTCATAAAATACCACCTCCTACAAAAGATCCCCATAATTTTATAGCCAATAAAAATTTGATTTGAGCATAAAAACTGTTAATAATTTTATAAAACAGATAACGCAAGAAATATTAGGCATATGTTTTTGCTCATTTTTGGAACCATGATGTAGCTCCAACAACAGTGCAGCTCTAACCTGCACAATATGTGTTTGATTGACATGCTTTTGCAACATGTTCAATAACAAAAGTATGAATTAGGTATTTAACAATTCATATATAGAGGCAAACCATATATCTAGAATTTTCTGAGGTGCCTCTATATTTGCATAACACATGAGGTTTTGTAGCCCCCAACACTCAGTTTGGTTGCTGGAGCGACAACTTCCTTGAGTCTAAAATTTAATATATTGGTGTTTTAACCATGGTTTTAAATATCGGCCGATAATCCGATATTATCGCCGAGTTATCGGATTTGGGAGCTTTCTGCTAGGATAAGAAGGATTTTTTATCGGTTATGGTTTTTTGAGGTTTATCGGCGATAAAGGTACTTATCGTCCGATAATTAGGCTCTAAATATCAACTTTATCGGTCGATAAGTAGGATTTTGGAGCTTTTACTTTCTTTTGGATTTGCTCTTTGAATGTTTACAAATTATGAACTATTTGTTGCTTTTGGAACTTGGTTGATTGGTGATTAGCTTATGTTTATTTATGAATATTGATAATGACTCATAACTACTAAATATCAATTTAGTAAGTTAGTTTATGAATCTCATGATTAAACAATAATTATGTAGATGCGTAGATGGTTCTTCATTCTTGATGTTATCTTATTATTTGCTAGTTTATTATTCCATTTTGACTAACATTATATTTTTTTTCAAGCTTTTGTTTGTTTATTATTTGCTAGTATATTACTCCGATAAATACTACTTATCCCCGATATATCCTCGATTTCTGCTATCCAATAAGGATTTTGACCGTCCGATAAATCTCCGATAACCGACATTTAAAACCTTGGTTTTAACAAAGTCCAAACAAACATTTGGGTTGAGATTCTGGCGTAGTTGGAATAGCATGGTGATCCAACAACACCCAATTACAAGTGTTCCGATAACAATCCAAGTTTTAGCTGTGAACTACAAAAGCAATAGAAAAAAGGCACAAAAAGGACATGGTAATAATTAATCTATGGTTGTGGTAGTGGTAGTGGTAAATGGATGATTTTTGAATCTATTATTTCGGTAAATTGTAGTGAGGCCCACTGATCAATCAAGTATAACTGTGAGTGACTGACTGTGTGTATATATATCAGCTGGCCTACAGAAAGATCCTCGTGCATGCACCTTCTGCCAGCACAAGGAAGCCCCAACAGGAGTGCGCACCAACCTACATCTGGCAGTAAATTAGGTGTTACATGGCAAAAGGAAGCACAGACCGCCAAGAATGCAACTGCACAAACAATGATCAATCCACGTCCAATAGTACCATATTTTCTAAAGAACATGGCAGACTAGTAGACTAGTAGTTCCTGCACAGTTAGTTGACTAATTTCTAAATTGCATAAAACCATGTTTTTTATGCAATGCCTCTAATACGAACCAGAATGTCAACATGAACTAACCAGAATGCTCGCAGAAAATCGGGGCATTGCATTAGCATGTTATTGAAGCCTTGCTGCACACTTAACATAGAAAAACTAGCAACCAGCCAAAAGGCATAATTGTTTAAGTTTACCTCTCCATCTTTCATCCCTTTCTCAATATCAACAGTAACAAAATCTCCTTCTCGCACAAACTTTACATTTTGACACTGCTCACAGACCTGAAGAAGAAAAAAATTACAATTAGATATAGCATCTAGCTTCTCCTGCAAGAAGAGAAACAAGAAAGAATCAAAGCAACAATGTCCAAATCAAATGCATTTTTTTTCTTCGAAAACTTCAGTAGCTTACAGAAGAAAATTTCAAAGGACATCCTCAAGAATCACATAGGACCAAAAAACAACAATACCTGTTCAGTCATTTGCTGATACATTCCAGGAGCAATTTGTCTATGATGTACTTCATTTCTACAGTTACACCGCCTCTTCCCAGGGGCTGGCTTAATTACATTCTTCTCTCTCCAAACCTGGTAGGTATTTCAAGAAAGCAAAATATACAGGTGTTAGCCATATTAGGAAGGCTGTAGTGTCTCACTGTATTCCACCACCATGTAGTTAGCATATTATTCAAAATCTGACACACACACACACGCGCACACACACACACACATATGTATGTCTATATGAATAGTGGAGTTTATATGCCTAAATGTTCACCTAAAACTTACACCAGCATTAATGAAATAATGGACTGTGAACAAAATTATGCTTTTCAAATGACAATGAAGACCATTTACCATATTATAGCATGAAAGCTAAAAAAAGATGATAAAAAATTTGTCATGGCATTCGGAGTAAGTACCTTCAAAGAACCTCCCATATACAAGTCTTCCAGCGTAGCATGTAACTCAACAATTACATCATCGCCTTTAGGAGTCTTCTCTTCCTCTTCTTCCATGCCCATACCACCGCCAAAAAACCTACTCAAATAACTCCAATATTAGTGATACTGGAAATTGCAGAAAGAAAACTAACATAAGACAATTGTCTGAAATAGTGATGATTTTTGTTTTTATAATTTAAGGTACCTAATGCACACATTTGTGGTTTAAGGTACCCTTAAAGCAGTTCCAGCTCCTAGCAGAACAGCATATTGTACATTTAACTGAACTGTATCGAACACAAACTAGGAAGCAACCAATCTTTAAGGGCTCTTATAATCTCCTGCCTAACGCAATGTCATGGCCTTGATTCTTGGCCAACTTCAATATCATTTTGTTTCACTGCCTCTATGCAGACCACTTCACGGTAAAAAACTCATCATCACTCTATTGTTTAGCACCTCACAACTAAAGCTCGCCACATAATTTGAGGATGGAAACACTGGGATATCCCATAAAGGCGTTAATTAGACTGTCTGGAGAGGCTGTTATGACTTATGAGTGTCCACTGTTTTTTGTTTCCCGCTGCTATGAGACAGTACCATAGATATGAGGCTGTGCAAGGAAAGTTAGTGATCAGCAAACCCCGCTATTCGGAGCCAAAGAAGGATCAATTAACATCTTTCTTGATTGCATCCATGGCCAACTCACACATGATGTGAGAAGCAGTGAATCAAGAGTGGACCTAGGTGTTCAAGCACGCTTCCAATAGGAATAAAATGCACTTGGACAGACATGATGATTAGATTTCGGGCACAAGATACCACATGCTTAGACTTTTTATCATATGATTTTCCTTTAGGAAGAATCTTGTGTCGCTCTTAATGAATCTAGATGCAAGGCTACCATGCTGCAGATGCCCAGATCCCCAACAGTCACACCATACAGAGTATGTATGAACATGAATTTGATAAGGACAAAGATTTTGACTTGGAAAGTCAAAAATTCAGGCAGTCAGCTCAGAGAACAACACGAGTGGGAGTATGTTGGCATGTGTCAAAGGAGTCTGTGGATAAGTCTTTGTCTGCGATATGATAGAAGTTTATATAAATATATTCCTAAGAAGGGGCCTACCAAGAATCCTAGTAGAACTAGAGTTATTTCCTCTATCTTCTCGTAAACAATAACGTGAATAGGCACAAAAAAGGATACAGAAAACAGACTCTCTCTCAAAGCTACTGCATCCCTTCCTTCCAAGCTCAATGTTCAAGGGCTAGTAGTAGGCTGATAAGAGGGGATCGCTGATTATTGCTGTGGTTATCCCTCAGCTATTGGACAAGACATGTGCAACAGATCAACATGGAACGATCTTCATGGGGTAATCACTAAACCTATTTACCATTTATTAGAGGAGCGTATTTGGTGCAATAGTATCCACTGTGCTTGGTCTAGGTATGTGGTACCAAGATCATAGATTATTTTTTGCCTCTTCAAGTTATTAGCTTATGACATATGGGAAGAGAGAGACAACAATCCTATTTCTAGTAGGATGCTTGCCGCTCCTGAGCACCGGTTTAGGTAGGAATAACTATCCATATTGCAGATATATATGTATTTTATCCACATGCTCGAGTGTGAACCTCACACACCAACAAGTTATCATCCATCTTTGAATCTTTGTAAACTAATCCAGTTGATAATCGAAATCATGTGTCGCAACATTCACTCATATATCTATAACCTCTTATCAAAAGAAAATAAAAATAGTAACAATGAAAATGTCAATTATTCCTGTGATTTAACCAAACTAAAGATAAGATTCCGCTTACGTGCTAAATATATCTTGCATGTTCATGCCACCACCCCTCCCTCCGCCACCAGCATGCTGCTTCAGTCCCTCTTCGCCATACCTATCATATATATTCCTCTTCTCACGATCACTCAGAACTTCATATGCTGATTAAACCCCCCAAAAAAATCAGTTTTTTCTTCCATCAAAGGAATGACATATAAATTAAAAAAAAGCAAAAAACATGATCAAGAGAAAAAAAAAGCACCATTGTTAATCTCTGCAAATTTCTGGTTGGCCTCCTCATTCCCTTGGTTCTTATCAGGGTGATACTTCAATGCAAGCTTTCTACAGTTGAAATTGTGAATTCCACTCAAAAAAATTTCTAATAATAAAATTTGAGGGGAGAAAACTCTGCCGTTACAATGTGCTATACCTGTAATTTCGTTTAATCTGTTCATCTGAAGCGCCCTTTGGAACTTGGAGCACATCGTAATAATTCCTCCTGCGACCGAAACCGATTCAAACAAATCAAGAACAATCAAAGACGAATCGAGGAGATGGATATGACAGCGATCTTACCCTCCGATTGCGGAGAGAGCGTGCGATAGAACGAGGACGAAGAATAGAATCAAGCTCGATCTCAGGCGAGCCATTGGAGGAGCTAGGGTTAGGGTTAGAGTTAGGGTTTGGGTTTTGTTCGAGGGATCGAAGTATTTTGAGTGGAATTATTAGACACTGTGGGCTGCGATTTCTTCAGATCTCTTCCTCGTTGTTGGGAGCAGACGTGGATCTTTAGGAGACGAGCCAATGAGAGGCCGTGTTTATGTGTTCAGACCAATAGGAAGAGAACACGTGTCCGACCCGCGCTGAATTGGTCCGGACTCGACGAATTAAAGGGTTTTTGCAGTACCAGTCCCTTAAAATCTTTATTTAGGCCCCTAGTTCTTAAGCTATTATGAAACTAGCGTGCTGTCCGTGAAGTAAGATTTTTTTTCCACGCTATAGTAATTATGTTTTTAAATGTTATCGTAATTTTTTTTTTTAAATGCTACATTATCCCGTATCTTTTAAATTATTACAGTATAACTGTGCTACAGTATTTTCAAAGAACGCTACACTAGCTCTCGCCTCTGCTACAGTAATTTTTTTTAAAAATGCTACAGTATCCCGTGTGCCATAGTTATAATGTTGTATTAATATTTACAGTAGCATGAACAGTGAATATTGGATTCTCCCATTTATATAGAGGAGTAAACTATTCCTCTAAATTGTTAAAGTTGTTACTGAGTCTCCAGATATAAAAGACTAATTTAGTATTGTTGAAGCTTATGATAAGTCGCATATAAATAATTTATAGATGTAACTTATACAAACTACCGAAAATAATTGTTTAGTACTTATATGTCATGAGCTAGTTCTAAAAGCAAAAAGGTGTTTCGGTAAAATCATACTTAAAGGTCATCATAAGTGGAACCGACAGAAATAGACAAGAACTTTAACTATCAAAATAAATAAGATAAAGATAAATAAGATGGAGATATCACAAACTGAAGGGACATTAATTGTACAAAAATTACAAAAAATAGAAGTCGTTTTTAAAACATCCTTACATTACTTCTAAAAGCATTCTCTTAGGTCCCGTCTGGATAATGGAAGTATTAGAAGTAAGAAATAAGTTATAGAAGTAACTTTCAAAACTATGAAGTAGGAAGTAGTGGAAATAACACTTTTTTTGTTTGTTTCGTATATTTTTAGAAGTAATGGAAGTAGAACTTCTTCTTCTTCATTTATTTTTTTTGTTTGGATAACATTTGAAAATATTACTAGGAATTAATTTTATCAATAAAAAGCTGTTAGAAGTAACCGATAAAGGAAATATTAATTAAAAAATTTATTTATTTCCTAATTAATATGCATTTCAACTACTTCCGAGCTACTTCTGAGTATTAAGGATTGGAAAACTATTTTGGAAGTAAGGATGACACGTAAACGCCACATAAGCATTTAAGAAAGCAATGGAAGTAAGTTTTTTAAAGAACCAAACATGTTTTTTTGCTTGGAAATAGCAGAAGTAACATTTACTTCTTTTACTTCAGCTACTTCATAATTACTTTCGTGCAAACAAACGGGCCCTTAACAGTAAACAATAATTTTGATAAGCATATGCAAAATAAAAATTAGCAAACGCTATTAGTGACTGGTCCTTAAAAGAAATAAGGAGAATCAATCAAAAAAATAATACCGAACTAACCCTAAGTTGTTTTGAAATAATTTCCTCAAATCAATAGTAAACAACCAGAGGGACTAATTTGCTACAACTTACGAAAGTAGAGAATATAATAGAAAATTTGATGATCTGAGGGTCTAGTTTGTCTCAACATCTCTTGATCGGAGGGATTAATAATAATTAAGAAAAAAAAGAAACCGAGAGACTTAATAGCAGTGTAAATTGTTTGAGTTAGTAATTTCAAAATATTTTAAAAATTAAGGGAGCTAATAGCAAATTTAATGATACGAGGAACTGTTTTGAAAATATGAAACATTTTAGGGCCAGATATCGGAAATCTTGCGGTCATCGATCTCGCGCGCTATAAAAACGCTTTCTGCATTTCTCCTCTCCTCTCTAAAGATCTCACACATCTCCAGTCAACCGAAACCTAAAACAAAATAAACTAGAAAATAAAAAAATAAAAAAAAAGAAACAGAAAATCTCAATGGAGAGATCTAAGATCTTGCTGCTGGTCTCTCTCCAAACCGTAGCCCTCGCCTTCCTCATCTCGCCGTCTCTCGCCGACGAAGGCGACGTCGTCGTCCTCACGAACTCCAACTTCGAGAAGGAGGTCGGCCAGGATCGCGGCGCCCTCGTCGAGTTCTACGCCCCTTGGTAGGATCTCGTTAGTCCGATCTCGATTTTTTTTTTTTTGCTTTTAGAGCTTTGATCAGCGTTAAGTTTCGGTTACATGATAGAATTTGATAACTTAGGGATGTTGTTGTTTGATTCAGGTTAGTCCTTTTAAAAAATTTAGAAAATGTTCGCAATTTGATGCTTTTGTTCATGGGATGGATTTGTTAACGATTGTATTTATCTGGTTTTAGATTAGATTTGGGGTAAATTACACTGAATCGCCGTGAATTTTAAATACTTTTTTATGTTGTTTGTTTTGGTTCTAATTTATGGGTTTTATCCATGAAACTCAGAAAGTTCATGAGGGGTTTAGTGTGATTCTGGAAGTTCATGGGTGTTTACTGCAAAACACTGAAAGGTTATGGGGGTTTAATGTAATTTACCCTTAGATTTGATTGGATATATACTAAAATTGAGAAAGGTTAAAATATATAACAATAGATATTTGATATGAAGCTCTGTAGTTATATACTCCTACTGTCTGTATTTGGTAATCTAGGGAGGATGCGCTTTTTTTTGTGCCCATTTTTTCCGATGTGGCTTGAAATGCTTGTGCTGGATCAGTGTATCTTCAGAACTGTATGGGTTAACTCTTTCAGGAGAACCTTATGATGAATCCATTCTGTGATTTTGAGATTGTTGCTTCCTTTTTCTTATCTATGTTTGGAAATCTCTAACTGTATTTGGTTCCACGCTTACAATATATTGCACGCGATTATTTGCCGTGCATGAGAAATATGTTTCATTAATTTGAACATGACAGGCCCTGGTCATAGTTTTTGTTTGGTTGCTTACTTGTGTCCATTATTGGCAGGTGCGGTCATTGTAAGAAGCTAGCTCCTGAGTTCGAGAGGTTAGGTGCAAGTTTTAAGAAGGCAAAATCTGTATTGATTGGAAAGGTAATATACATTTCATGTTACTTCCATCAACTTCATGCTATATGGCTGTAGTAAACTCATTGTTCTTTCTACCAAGGAGAAGGTTGTCTTTTATCATCTAAATTTTCTGTATGGATCAAATATTATTTTCTTTATAGCTTGCACTGAAAATTAGATAGTCAAACATGAATGTTGTAAAAAGAATTTTATAATTCAATGGACCAAGCTTCTAAGAGGTTAATATCACTGTACCCTTTTCTGATTAATGAAGGTGGACTGTGACGAGCACAAGGACATCTGCAGCAAATATGACGTTAAAGGATACCCCACAATCCAATGGTTTCCAAAAGGCTCCTTGGAGCCAAAAAAGTGTGCATCTTACTTCTAAGCGATTCACTTATTTATTCTAGAATTGTTTATGTCGTCACATATAATTATCCAAAACGTCCCTTTATTTTATCAAATTTTCACTAATAATAGTTTATTGATTGCATAGGTATGAAGGTGCTCGGACTGCAGATGCCCTCACTGAGTTCGTGAATACGGAAGGAGGTATGCTATATCCATGTATCTTATTACTTCATATTTCAAGCAGTGAAGTGAGATTCCATTCAGGACTGTTGAAGTCATAGCTAGGGTGGAATACTGAGGGATTCATATCTGAATTCATCTATTACTGTGCCTGAATTCAAATTTGGACCTGCTTTTCTGAAGAATTTATTTCAAGAAGCATTCGGATTTGAACTTTCTTTTTTGAATTCAACTCCAAATCCAAATGCTTCTTGAAAAAAAATTCTCTTTGATCTGAAAGTACATTTATATTTGATGATACAATTTAAATATTTTGTGAATTATTTCGTTGAAGGTTACTTTTATTTGATTTAAATTTTTTGATTCTCTTGATTAATGAAATTCATGTTGTTGTAGAATTTACACTACTATTTATAAATATCATTATATAGTAATATCAGATAAGAAACATATAGTTATTTGTGTGTTTGTTTGACCATTTAGTTGTTTATACACATATTAAAGAAATGTGACAATTGAGAGAATCAAATTTTTGATTCATTTACTAGACAGATTTGATTTCACTTAAATGATCGTTGGAACTGAATTTGTATATATGTGATTAATTACCTGACTATTTGGTAATTATTTGATCCGACTTCGACCCGAGTGTTAGCTAACATTGTATACATAAGGCAGTTGTGCCTTTTTGCAGTCCTGAATGGAATATTCATCCTAGTTTGGAGTGCAATTAATTTGTCATACTATTTATGAGTATCATGTGGAAATATCAAATAGAAACATATAGCTATTCACTTGTCCATAACACTGATATGTAGCAGATTTTATTTATTTATTGTTTAAAATCACCATCCATAATCTCTTTTGATGAAATCTCATTTTTCTATTTGAGGTTTTATTGACATGAAGAATTTAATACTATTTTTAACGTGCTACGTAGCTTTTGAACTTAGGGAGTTCCTGTTTGGTAGCTTAAAAAAATAAAAATCTGAATTCTTATGTATATCTTTTACTTACCACTATGGTCTGAATAGGAGATATTTATTTGATCAGTTGTAAAATTCTGACACCTAGTTTCTGAGTATATGGATGCAGGAACTAATGTAAAGTTGGCAACAGTCCCATCAAATGTAGTGGTATTGACATCGGAGACCTTTGATGAGGTTGTTCTAGATGGAAAGAAAGATGTTCTCGTGGAGTTCTATGCACCATGGTCAGTTGATTTCTTTAAGTCCCACATTGTGTTTCTTCGTTCTTAGTCATTGAGATCTTTTCTTAATTGTTTTCTCTTATTTCTATAGGTGTGGTCATTGCAAAAGCCTTGCTCCAGTAAGTATATTAACCTATCTTATATGGAGCATTCTAGTGCCACATGGAAACTCCCATTTTGCCCCAACTTGGTAGATTTGAATAATCTGAAATGTTTCCCATTTTGTTTGTAGACCTATGAGAATGTCGTGATAGCTAATCTTGATGCCGATAACTACAAGGATTTGGCAGAGAAGTAAGTTATAAATGCATACTATAATTAGCAGAAACTGGAGTTTGTTTGCTGACTATATTGGATTATGTTTCTTATGTTATGTGCCAAAGTATATTTTGTTATGACACCTTTCAACTGCCAAGGTAGGGGATGCACTAGCATCCAGGTGATCCTGGATTTGATCAGCTTATTATTTATAGAAGCTTCATGGGGAAAATTTTGCTCGATATTGTAGTCATTGGCTTCTAAATAGTGTTCACGAATTGTCGTTAGATCTACAAGAACTATGATTTTTTCTTGTATTTATTATACGAAATATATACCTCAAGTACAATTAGCCTTGCTTTTTTTGGGTCATCTTTAACGACTTGATGCTTATTTCCAAAAATTATCCTTGAACTCTCTACTTGTGGTTGAACTAGAATTCACTTTGATCTTGACTTCAAAGTTTTATCTCTTTATTTCCTTTCTGTCACTTGTGAATTTCTCATCTTTCATCCATGTCAAATCTATTTGGTTTAGTTTCTTGTTTTGTAGAACATATTGGTGTGCACATGTTCTCATGATTTTTCTTTACCTGAGTTACTTTTGGAAGTATATTTCCTTGAGATAGAACTTTCAGATACTCTGTTCTGAAAAGTGCTTTAGGCCTGAAAGATTTTCACTTTTGCATGAACTGCTGCAACCGTTGAATCACTTTGGGGATGCATATTTCAGACCAATTTAACATGCTCCACTTGCAAACATATCATTTTGTCTGGATGGCTCTTTTCCTCTGGCAAATTGACATTTCCTGATCATAAGCAGTAAACTTCATTCTACTTTTTATTGTTACATCACGCAGTTCAATGGGTAGTTTGTTAGAATTACCAGGGGGTAAAAGTAGCAAACTTGGGTAATCCCCTATCAGTTACAATAGATCCAGAGACTTCTTGGGATGCCCCACAATTCTTTTACCCTAAAAAATTTTCACATCTTTTTTTCTTTTTGTTGTTACTTATTAAGATTGGATGATTCTTGCATATCGGATGACAAATTTAGGTAGTGCAAATGCAATGAAATTATACCAGAATAGTTGAAACCAAAGTAGCTATTAAAAGTTTAAACCTATAACAATGCTTTTATTTGCTGCGTTAGTACACACCATCACCTTATTTGAAAGTCATTCTACTGCCAAATGAAGGTGGTTTTAGTTTCTTAAGTAGGATTAGTGGAAAAATATTCGGAGTATGACATGTTTCATGTTCTTTTCCAGAAGATATATCAATAACTTGCTCATCCAACAGACTTGAACTTCATCTTAAGCTCAATATTTACAGTCATAAAACTTGTGACATTTGTATAACACATGTATTATGTTATAGATTTTATTTGAACATCTTTTTCCTTTTGATAAATCATTTGAATCTTAAGAGTAATTTTCCAGCCTGTGATTTTAGTTTGTCATGGTGTTAAAGAGTTGGGTTGAAGTCAAATTAAACTTGCATGAATTTTAGATATGGAGTCAGTGGATACCCTACGTTGAAGTTTTTCCCAAAAGACAACAAAGCTGGCGAAGACTATGATGGCGGGAGAGATCTAGCTGAATTTGTCACTTTCATTAATGAAAAGTGTGGCACCAGTCGTGATGCAAATGGCCGTCTTACTTCCCAAGTTAGTAGCAAACACAGAGTTTATACTTAGATATACTTGTTCAACTGTATTTTTCTCAGCCGTTGGCTCTTTGTTGTTGTAGGCTGGTATAATAGCAGGTTTAGAAGCTCTTGTGAAGGAATTTACTGGCGCTGCTGATGAAGAGAGGAAGGCCGTTCTTGCTCGAATTGAAGAAGAGGTTGGAAAGCTTGAGGGTTCTTCAGCAAGGTAATTATTTTTAGGTTGTGTATCATGTTTTCTTTATAACTGGAATTTGAGTAACTGGAATTTGAACAACTATTGGAAGTTTGGAACTTCCTTCATCTGTCTTTACTGTATAGGTGCCTGGTCTTTATTAGGTGCCTGATATTAGCTTGTGTTTTTTCTGCATGGTGTAGTTTACCTATTGGTGATAGTCATGCTAATGCTTTGATTACATGTTAATAGCTTTCGTTGCCTTTGAAAAACATTAGTGTTGAACTTATCCAAACCCCTTAAATACCAATTTACTATATTAAATGTTTTCCACCAATGAGAATTATGTTTAGTTGATTTTTTTTTCTTCTTCCCTTCCTTTCATCTTCTCTCGTTTTTCCCTACTTAGAACTCTTTCCTTTTGGAAATATTTGTTGTGTACATATTAAACATTTTGCCAGCTGTTTTAGGTGGAGTTTGCTGCGATGAATTTATTAGTTTATGTAGTGCCCTGACTTAAAACCAGATGCAAAAGTGAAGGAAATGAAAACTAGAAATACTAGCAGATGCCTAGTAAGCCACCAATAGGATAGTAACACCCGCAAATATCTTTATTTGCTAGCTACGCCTTGATAGAAATGTCAGGACTGGCATTCCTTCAAAATGTGTTCGGATGCATCAGAAGGTTCCCTAAAAAGATTTACTTTACAACCTGTCATGCTACTAAACTTTCAGACACATCCCGTCATGGACTAATGCCATAGGCATAACGTACCTAACTGTTAATCACATCATCTTTTTGGTGGTTCTCTTCATATATGAAGAGTACATATGTAGCATTTGTTACCGTGACTGCTAAAAGATGAAATAAATTTGCTAGGTTGTTTGATATGGGCATGCGTATGGGCTTGGACTAATTGAATGATGCTTTCATCCTGTATTATGCAGAGAGTAAAAAGGTAAACAAGAAAGGAAACTCGATCAAATCAAAGACATGCAGTTCAAATGCCCTCTACGAAACTGATCATGGAACTAAGCTTTCCATGGTTTGAACATAATAAGACACCAATTAGTCATGGAAAATGATATCTTTTTTTTCCCATGATTTTCCATGCGATCATCTAAAGTTTTGAAAGTTAGTTGTATTGATGCAATATCATGATTCCACCAATACAGTATTTGTGACTATTTGTGATTGCATCGACACAACATGCTGATTGTGCTGATAACGTCGTATGCTGATGTCACTGCTTTTGAAAAAAATGAGTAGATATGTTTCGCGATCTACTGTGAATTTGACTAAAATACATCTGCCTCTCGAGTTAGTTAATGAATCTCTTTTACAGGTATGGCAAGGTCTACTTGAAGATTGCAAAGAGCTCTGTTGAAAAAGGTGCTGGCTATGCTAAAAAAGAAATCGATCGACTCCAGCGCATGCTAGAAAAGGTGCGTGAGAACTCGATTCACATAAAGTTTTCCCATCCTTTGAGAAAAAACTGTATAACGAGAGGAATTTCTTTTGATGGCAGTCAATCAGTCCTTTGAAAGCAGACGAGTTCACCGTCAAGAAGAACATCCTATCCATTTTTGCTGCTTGAGCTTGAAGAGCCCCACATCCCGCGCTTTTTCTGAGAGAAGGATATTTTGAAGCCAAGATTTTAGCGTCGCCATTAGAAAAACTGAACTAGCTGTATAAGACTTCCGTATCTTATACACCTTTTATCGATGAGGAATTATCATTATTTGCCATGCTTAATTGTGTTTCTAGTTTTGTTTGTGTGGCTCATTCATGATACAAGTATTATGTGCTTGGACTCTATTTGCTTTTAGCTGCATTGAGTAAAATTGCAATGCCTGGAAACAGCGAGCTACATGATTAAGTGGGTAGAAATGTGGCAATAAAATCTTGAGATAAAAAAAATCTGATTCAACTATTGTCCATGAACAAGTAAAAAATTCATGCACGCGTATAATACAAGGAAAACCTGAGCATTAATGATATTATAACTTAAGCTACTCTTATAATGTCTAGATTTCATTCTAGAGGAGAACCCATACAAATTAATAAACGGTTGACTCCCACACCGAGTCAAACCAAAGCCGTATTAGATTTGCAGATAATTCCACACAAGTCGTTAGATTACTATTTTTCTATTTATTTTCAATTTAAATTAAGAAATTATTATTCATTAAACTTTCTTCATATATAATATATATTACATTAATGTTAAAATATTATTGGAAAAGTTTATTCAGTTCATTAATTATGCGGTTTTCTCTCCGGTGGTGAAATATTCTTCGATTCTGATTTTGCTAGTTTTGGTGGCACAGTATGGATTGGAGTTAGATCATATTATTGGTAAATTAATTATTCATTAAATTAAAAATGTAAAAAAAACTATGGTTTGAGTGACCGAGTCGATCGCACTAGTTTTTTCCGCTTCTATTTCCCGCTCACGTGTATCCTTTTTCCCGCCATTTCGATGGGTATTTATATACATATATACACAGAGAATATATATCAGAGAAAACCCTAAAGCCTTTTCTCTGGATTCAGATCGCCGTCACCAATCGCATCGTAAGTATTCTCATCATCTAAATTTTATTAGGGTTTCTTTTCTTTTTACGATCTGGCGACTGATCCACTGTCGTTAGTGTTTCTTCTCTCCGATCTCGTAAATCTATATTCTGCAAGGGGGGAAAATTTTTGGATTCAGTTAGTAGATTGAGTTGCGATCCTAATTGATTGCTTTCATTTTAGCTTTGAAGATTTGCCCTAAAACTGATGCTAACATGAGAAACCGGAAATTTTGAAGGAGGTCTAAGTTTGAAGTTTTCCTAGGGTTTTAGCTTTAGTCTGAAACCATTTTGCGTTATACAAGTTTTTACAAGGTAAAGAATGAATTTCCTTTTCTTTTTGATGTTAATGTTGTGGTACCAAGTTGATTTGAAGATAGCCAATCAATCTTTAGACAAAAAGTTGAATGACTAGGTTCGTTAGATCTATTTCGTCTGATTGCGATCCTGGTAGATGATCTTTTGTATTTTCAGATGGATGAGATACAATATTTTAACTAAAATTCGTTTAGCTACGAAATCATGTAACAATGTTTTGTTCACCATGCTTGTAAATACCCATGTCTCTATAACCTCTTTCTGCAGACTTGGGTTAACTGCGTATAGAACCTGTTTCGTTCTATTTGTGCGGATAGATGCCCTGTAACGTTTGTTAGTTGGGATGGATACCAACCTCCGGCAGGGGAGCTCCGACGAGCTCCAGGATGACACAGGTGAGAGTGGCGAAGTCGACGAAGAACGCGACCCTCATCTTTGGGCGAACGCTACCCTCGGCATTTGGCGGCTCCGACCATCGCGTCCGCCCCCCTTGACCTCAGCGTTTGGCCTCCCACATCCGCGTCAAGCCTCCCACCTCCGCGACAAGCCTCCCACCTCCGCGTGTGCAAGTGATCGCTGGCGATAGGCTGTCGCCAGCCTGTCTATCTCTCGGCTATAAAAGGGGACCCTGATGCCCTAGGGTTTGCTGCTCTTCCCTTTTCTCTCTCTCTTCGATTCCAGGCAGCGGCGGCGGAAAACCCCAAAACGCAGCAGCGTTTTCTCATTTGAAATCACAAAAGTGATTTATCTTGATTGATCTCAACTTTCAACAGTGGGTGAGGAGATTTAAAAGAGAGAGAGAGAATTAAAGAGGGGGTCCTTTATTGTGGGATATTTTATTCTCAAGTGAGAATTGAAAGGGGTTCATTCCCTTTAATTATTAACACTGTAGCTACAGTGTTTCATCTGAGAAATCCCAGTTTAGGGATTTTCTCCTAAATTGTAATTTCTTGTTTGATTAATAAGAAATTATCTGTGTGGCTCCCGAGGACGTAGGCAGTTGCCGAATCTCGTTATATCTTGGTGTACTTTTTCTATTCTGCGTTTCCGTTGCATTAGGGATTTCGGCGTTAAAATTCCCAACAACTGGTATCAGAGCGTGAAACGATCTAGAGGAAGTCAGATTCAAGTGGGAGCCATGGCCGCAAATGAAGGGAAAATAAGACTTGAGAAATTTGATGGAACAGATTTTGGATTCTGGATAATGCAGATAGAGGATTATCTGTATCAGAAAAATCTGTATCAACCACTATCGGGGAAGAAGTCGGATTCTATGAAGGAAGAAGAGTGGAACCTTCTAGATAGACAAGCCCTCGGAGTTATCAGATTGACGTTGACTCGCAATGTTGCGTTCAACATAGCGAAGGAGAAGACCACGGCAGGTCTTATGGCAGCACTCTCAAACATGTATGAGAAGCCATCAGCCGCGAACAAAGTTCATTTGATGCGGCGGTTATTCAATCTGAAAATGGCGGAAGGCGCGTCAGTAGCACAACACCTCAATGAACTTAATACGGTTACAACCCAATTGAGTTCAGTTGAGATTGAGTTTGATGAAGAAGTTCGGGCGTTGATATTGTTGTCTTCCCTACCAGAGAGTTGGAACGCTACAGTCACAGCTGTGAGTAGCTCGTCGGGAAAGAAAAAGTTGAAGTTCAGCGACGTTCGTGATTTGGTTCTCAGTGAGGAGATCCGACGGCGAGAGACTGGTGAAGCTACAACCTCTTCAGTATTGCATACAGAGTCAAGAGGTAGAAATTCAACCAGAGGAAACGGACGAGGAAAATCAAACTACAGAGGTAGATCAAAGGACAGGAGGTCCAAATCAAGGAATCCAAGCAACAGCTCGAAGGCTATCGAGTGTTGGAATTGTGGAAAGACCGGGCATTACAAGAATCAGTGCAAGAGTGCACAGAAAGAGAAGGAGGCAAAGGCAGAGGTGAATGTCACATCCACTTCAGGAGGAGACGACGCATTGATATGCTCTTTGGAGAGCAAGGAGGAATCTTGGGTGTTAGATTCAGGAGCGTCGTTCCACGCTACTTCTCAGAAAGAATTCTTCGAGAAGTATACCCCCGGAAAACTTGGATACGTATATCTTGGTGATGATCAACCATGTGCTATTGTGGGCAAAGGCGTGGTGAAAATTAAGTTGAACGGGTCAGTATGGGAGCTGAAGGATGTCAGGCATATTCCCGACCTGAGAAAGAATTTAATATCCGTAGGTCAGTTGGCTGGCGAAGGATACACCACAACCTTCCATGGAGATGATTGGAAGATTTCAAAGGGCGCAATGACGATTGCCCGAGGCAGGAAGACTGGTACCCTATATATGACAGCAGGTGCACGTTGTTCGATCTCAGTTGCAGCAGGCAATGAGACTTCAAAGCTGTGGCACCAGAGACTCGGTCATATGAGTGAAAAGGGGATGAAAATCATGCACACAAAGGGAAAACTCCCAGGACTGCAGTCAGTGGAGATGGATATGTGTGAAGAATGTATACTTGGAAAGCAGAAGAGAGTCAGCTTTCAGACAAGTGGCAGAACCCCCAGGAAGCAGAAGCTAGAGCTCGTTCACTCAGATGTTTGGGGACCAACCACCACTGCGTCGATTGGTGGGAAACACTACTTCGTGACTTTTATCGATGATCACACTCGGAAAGTATGGGTCTACTTTCTGAAACATAAGTCAGAAGTGTTTGAGGCTTTCAGAAGATGGAAAGCCATGGTCGAGAATGAGACCGGTCTGAGAATAAAGAAGCTCAGGACCGACAATGGCGGTGAGTATGAAGACACCGGATTCAAGAAGTTCTGCTATGAGCACGGGATCAAAATGGAGAGAACCGTGCCCGGCACGCCTCAGCAAAATGGTGTAGCTGAGCGGATGAACCGAACGTTGACAGAGAGAGCCAGAAGCATTCGGGTACAGTCAGGCCTACCGAAGCAGTTCTGGGCAGAAGCAGTCAACACGACAGCTTACTTGATCAACTGAGGTCCGTCGGTTCCATTGGAGCACAGAATACCAGAGGAGGTATGGTGCGGAAAGGAGGTAAAACTCTCACATCTAAAAGTTTTCGGTTGTGTCGCTTACGTGCATATTAGTGATCAAGGCAGGAATAAGCTTGATCCCAAGTCAAAGAAATGCACTTTCATCGGCTATGGTGAAGATGAGTTCGGCTACCGCATTTGGGACAACGAAAACAAGAAGGTGATCCGGAGCAGAGATATGATATTCAACGAGAAGGTGATGTACAAGGACATGCACAAGACTGATGACTCAGAGAGTGAGTCAATATTTGTAGATGCAGATGATGTCCCGAGTAACCTCTCGGAAGAACCCAATGCAGAGGGTCCTCAGCAAGAAGAGTCTGTTGGACAAGATAGTGCGCAGGAACCCGACGCACCAGCTCCGATATTAAGAAGATCTTCTCGTCCTCCTGTACCCAACAGGAGATACATGAACTATCTGTTACTGACAGATGGTGGGGAGCCTGAAAGCTTTGATGAAGCTTGTCAGTGTGGAGATGCGAGCAAGTGGGAGCTTGCAATGAAAGATGAGATGAAGTCTCTCATATCAAACCAGACGTGGGAACTAGCTGAGTTGCCCACGGGTAAGAAGGCACTCCAAAACAAATGGGTGTACCGGGTGAAAGAGGATCAAGATGATTCCAGAAGATATAAAGCCCGGCTAGTTGTCAAAGGTTTCCAGCAGAAGGAAGGAATTGACTACACCGATATTTTCGCTCCAGTGGTGAAGCTAAATACTATCAGGACCGTGATGAGTATTGTAGCAATTGAAGATCTTCATCTGGAGCAGTTAGATGTGAAGACGACGTTTCTTCACGGAGATCTAGAAGAGGAGATATACATGCACCAGCCAGAAGGTTTCTCAGAAGAAAAGAAGAAGAACCTGGTGTGCAGACTCAAGAAGAGCTTGTATGGCCTGAAACAAGCCCCAAGACAGTGGTACAAGAAGTTTGATGGCTTCATGCACAAGGAAGGTTTCCAGAAGTGCAACGCCGACCACTGTTGCTACTTCAAAAGATATCAGTCCAGCTATATCATCCTACTGCTGTATGTTGATGATATGTTGGTTGCAGGAGCAGATATGAAAGATATCAAGAGTTTGAAGCAGCAGCTGTCAAAGGAGTTTGACATGAAGGACTTGGGTCCAGCGAAGAAGATCCTTGGAATGCAAATCACGAGAGATAAGAAGAGAGGTCTCTTGCAGTTATCTCAGACGGAGTACATCAACCGTGTTTTGCAGAGATTCAACATGGGCGACGCCAAGCCTGTGAGCACACATTTGGCCAACCATTTTCGTCTATCGAAGGATCAGTCTCCTCAGTCAGAAGAAGAGAAAGAGAGTATGGCTCAGGTACCTTACGCCTCAGCTATCGGAAGCTTGATGTACGCTATGGTCTGTACGAGACCAGATATTGGCCATGCAGTGGGAGTGGTCAGCCGGTTTATGTCGAATCCAGGAAAAGCTCATTGGGAAGCGGTCAAGTGGATTCTGAGATATCTACGAGGCACCACACAGAAGTGTTTGCACTTTGGTAAGGGAGAGGTAGAAGTGCAAGGGTACGTAGATGCAGACTTCGGCGGCGAAGTTGATCACCGAAGAAGCACCACCGGCTATGTATTCACCGTTGGAACTACAGCTGTTAGTTGGATGTCACAGGTACAGAAGATCGTTACCCTATCCACTACAGAAGCTGAGTACGTTGCAGTGACTGAAGCCAGTAAAGAGATGATATGGCTTCAAGGTTTGTTGACAGAGCTGGGATTCAAACAGGAGAAGAATGTTTTGCACAGTGATAGCCAGAGTGCGATACACTTGGCGAAAAATTCAGCATTTCATTCTAGAACGAAGCATATTGCGCTTCGGTATCACTTCATCAGATCCCTGTTGGAAGATGACGTGTTGAAACTGGAAAAGATTCCAGGAAGTAAGAATCCAGCAGACATATTAACAAAGACGGTGACCGTTCAGAAACTGGAGTTGTGCGCAACTTCAGTTGGCCTTCATGCATAAGATGATGAGGGCGGAGCCACACAGGAGAGGAGCTTGATGGGATAATCTGTTGACGTCGGTTTGGTCTCCAAGTGGGAGATTGTTAGTTGGGATGGATACCAACCTCCGGCAGGGGAGCTCCGACGAGCTCCAGGATGGCACAGGTGAGAGTGGCGAAGTCGACGAAGAACGCGACCCTCATCTTTGGGCGAACGCTACCCTCGGCATTTGGCGGCTCCGACCATCGCGTCCGCCCCCCTTGACCTCAGCGTTTGGCCTCCCACATCCGCGTCAAGCCTCCCACCTCCGCGACAAGCCTCCCACCTCCGCGTGTGCAAGCGATCGCTGGCGACAGGCTGTCGCCAGCCTGTCTATCTCTCGGCTATAAAAGGGGACCCTGATGCCCTAGGGTTTGCTGCTCTTCCCTTTTCTCTCTCTCTTCGATTCCAGGCAGCGGCGGCGGAAAACCCCAAAACGCAGCAGCGTTTTCTCATTTGAAATCACAAAAGTGATTTATCTTGATTGATCTCAACTTTCAACAGTGGGTGAGGAGATTTAAAAGAGAGAGAGAGAATTAAAGAGGGGGTCCTTTATTGTGGGATATTTTATTCTCAAGTGAGAATTGAAAGGGGTTCATTCCCTTTAATTATTAACACTGTAGCTACAGTGTTTCATCTGAGAAATCCCAGTTTAGGGATTTTCTCCTAAATTGTAATTTCTTGTTTGATTAATAAGAAATTATCTGTGTGGCTCCCGAGGACGTAGGCAGTTGCCGAACCTCGTTATATCTTGGTGTACTTTTTCTATTCTGCGTTTCCGTTGCATTAGGGATTTCGGCGTTAAAATTCCCAACAACAATGTTGGACTAAGTGCGAATTGCACCCCCTAGTGAACTTTTTTGATTCTTTTGAGAGTTGGAAAAGTTAGCAATTGGGGGTCTTTCTTCACCAATAGAATTTTAGGGGGTATATTCGCCTCCTCAAAACATTTTTAACTATTATAAGAGTAAAGATAATTTCCATCAGGGGGTCCATCCGCACAAATAGAACTACATGGAGTCTATCTGCAACTGGGCGATACTACATGGGGTCTATTTTCAACTAACCCTTTAATCTTTAACTATTCATTAAGAAAGCGAATTCAAACAAGTGAAAGGGCTAATCTTTTGCCATTGTAACTGCTTTCCCTTCATAGGCTGCTCAATGCTATGCTTCCATCAGTCTGAAGGTATTATCATCTGTCCTGTAAATTTTTGTCTGCAGATAATGGATACATCCAGCCCTGCTGCCTTTGTGAATGCGGAGCTTCTGAAGATGTACATGGGACGGAGAGTTCGAGCTGTAGTTCAGGTTCTGCGAAATGAAGGAGGGATCATTGTCGGGCAATCAACTGATGGAAGCCAGTTGACTGTAAAGGGCTCTCAAGGATTTCCTCCATCGCATTATGTGGAAGTCATAGGTATTGCTGATGGGAATCAATCGATTCGTGCTGAAATATGCACTGACTTTGGCGACAAATTTGGTAAATTCTTTCTAGCCTGTTTATTGGCTTATATAATTTTCTTACTTTTATATTATTGTTTCAATCACCTGGCATCTTAAGGGTGAACTTCTTGAATAATGAAGCAGTTACCATGTACTTTCATGTTAATGTTTAGTTTTGATTAATTTTGATTCTGTACATTGGTAAATTTTAACAAAGACACAGTGAATCCAAATATGAGATGCTTGATAGGAAAATAAATTAGGCAGATGTAACTCGAGCACTGTGATTTAACCCTCACTTTGAAGCAAAATTATGAAGACATTCTGTAAAGTGATTTAGATGTTTTTTTTGGCGTCAATTGTTTCATAAGCTTCAATGATTCATCTACTTGGGTGAAGGCATAGAGGTAATAGTAGAAGTGGAGTTATTCTTGAGGAGCCATGACTTTTTGCTTGTGTAATAGTGGGTTAATATTGCCTTTAGTAGTTTTTATGTAGTCCTTTTTTCCTGCTGCATGAAGGTTTCATGTTCTTTAGGGAAATTAATGGAAAAGAACCAATTGTGACTTTCAACTATATTTATGTATATCATAGTAAGCTGAAGGTTTCATGTTAATATTGCCTTCAGTAGTTTTTATGTAGTCCTTTTTTTCCTACTGCATGAAGGTTTCATGTAGTAGGATGACAAACTAGTGCTCTCCAATTGGGAAATTAATGGAAAAGAACCACTTGTGACTTTCAACTATATTTATGTATATCATAGTAAGCTGATTTATCTTTCTATCCACATACACTGTATTAGAATCCATATTCTAATCATGACTGAACTATATACAATGCACAGTGACTGAGTTATCTTGCATCAAGTTAATGAATTTGCATATATTAGCTACATATAATTTCTTTATGCATATTTGGGTCAATTTTTACATGGATATCCGTTAACTATTTATGAAAATGTTGAGGCAAAAGGTTGGTCCATGGAGGCATTCATCATATTACAACTTGAAGGTTTATGATTTATGATCTATGTCCATCTCATATCATCTTGGCATGTCATTATTATGTACTGTTTTAGAATTTGCATTGCTATATTATGTCCAATGGGGAGCTTAATGGGTATAAATTAAAAGCGGTTAATGGGTTTGGCTTTGTGTTAGAGGAGTATAACTCTCAAATCTCCAAAAAAGTTGAAGTTAACAGAATATTTCCCCATTTCAGGGGGGGGGGAGGCTTGTTTCAACATACTAATAGGATTTGGGGTGCCTGAGATCAATTTCAAAGATTTGGGGGCCTAATATAAAATATTGAAGAGTTGGGAGGGGCCTGAGAGCAATTTCAAAGATTTTGGGGGCTAATATCAAAATATTAAAGATTTGGGGGGCTAATATCGAAATAACCCTAAACAAAATAATAACAAAGAATAAATAGTTCTTGCTCGCTACAATATTCATTATCACACCCCAGTGGCATTGGTTATTGTTTACCCAAAATGATCCTTTGTCATGCATAACCCTACTTGAACAATTGACTCCCCTTAGATACTTAAAAGGCTAAGTTCCAGCCCCCCGAACTTCAGATGATTATCAGATAAACCCTGATAGCTTTCATACATCTAACTTAAAAATTACAAATAGCTAGCTTCCAAATTTATGGGTGGTTATCTGATAATTGTCCAATGTTAAGATATATTTATTTATTTTTTGGGTGCAAAATTTAGCCTACTTAAAAAGTACAAATAGCTAACACTTTTAGGAAATGAAGACCATTTTATTTTTGATCAGATGTGATAAAACCTTCAGGGACCCTGCACAATTCATCACATTCTAGTGGTGCTCAGGTTATTACAATTTTTCTAATTGCTTTGTTTCTTTTTTGGCAGATACAGTTGCATATAATTCCTTGTGCCAGCTCGCAAATGGTAAATACAAGAACTTATTCCTGTAAGCAGGACTAATCTGAAAGAAGACTGAGAATGAGTTCTTAGTAGTTTAACTTTGAAGAAATGTATATGTAAAGATACTTCTAGTCTTGAGTTGTTCTTGTAAAAGCTTGCCATCTTCTGCACTTAGAATTGCGATTCAAATATTTCCTTTAAATGGTCTGCTTTAAAATCTTTGGATAAACATCTCCATATTGTCGAAGGTCATCTAACTGCTCAGCTCTTTTTGTGTTATTCTTTTCTTTTTGCTACTAGTGAGTGAGTATATGATACCTGAAAATTGTTACCGATATTTGTTCTTTCGACTACTGCTTGGGATTGCTTTTAGTGTGAACTTCGGTTCGTTAGTTCAAAGTACGTGATGTTAGAACAAAGAGATTATAAACCAGTTCCTAGCGGAAAACGAAAGGATTTTTGTGGAAAACTGTATCATGTTCAGATTGTTTGATTTGCTGCGAGCCAATTTTATGGAAAACAGTTTGTCAAGAATCCTGATGCAGCATGGCCTTTGATTTTATGAGAACTAAAAGTACCAACTGTATCTATGAAAAGGTTCTTAACCTTACTTTGCTTTCTTGCAAGTTATATTTAATCTGCACTTTTATTTTATGAGGAGAATGGATGATAATTTGTTTATCCTTTATGGACTTCGGTGCCTGTTAACAATTCTTGAATCCTCTCTAGTCTAAAACTCTAGTTCATTAGTATTCAAACATACTTACATACATGAGGCAATGACAAACAGGCATCTAACAGTAATGCGTGCTGCGTGACTACTTTTACGTTTAAATGACTGACAAAGGTTGAATATCCCTTCATTTTGTTTTGAAATTGATAATGAGGTGATATGATCCATCTTGTAATTCTTGTCTCTAAGATAAAAGTAAATACATAATGAAATTTCATTGACAGGACATTTCACATAAATATTTCCCACATAAGAATAAAAAAGAACATTTCTCACTAGCAAAAGAACTATAGCAAACTCCTCTCATATGCATCCACAATCTGAATAAATCATGAAGAAAGCTCAACAAATCAGACACAACAAAAGAATACGTTAGCAAATAGAAAAAAAGCCTCAGCTCCCGAAGCCCCTCCTCACTGAGTTCGACCTCCTGCAATCCACCATCTCTTGCTCTCTAGCTAAAGGCAGCTCACAGACCACAGGGCAATGCACGTGGGGTCTCATCTGCACTGACCTCAACAGAGCAGAACGCCGCAGATCCCCAGTGTGGCACGCATCAGAGGGGGATGGAGGGAACCGGAGGCCATTGGACTCTGAACAGTGTCGTCGTTGTTGCAAGGTGGAAAGCCGAGCAGGCGATGGGCGCCAGTGGCAGTGGGGAGAGACTGTGGTGATCGAGGTGTTTGACAAGGCATCGGGGTATTGTGATTCATCCAAGTCTTCTGACATTGGGGAGTATTGAGATCTGAACTCATCCCTGAAAGTAGAATGGAATGTGAAGAGTTTGTGCTAAAGATTTGTGAATGTGATGAATAAAAGTAGGGCTAATTGTGGATACATCCCCAGTGATACCAGTGGTATCACTGTGTTGAACTTACTACCCCTCTAGTTTTACTGTTGCCGAGAGAACCTTGAGTGGTTTTTTTTCCCTTTTTTGACTCTTTGGACCTCAGAGACAGCAAAAAATTTGTTTTTTGAATAATAAACACCCAAGGGTAAACGAGTCAAAAATAGCTCAGTCAGGGGTCTCTCTGGAACACTAAGGCTAGAAGGGAAATACGTCTAAACAAAGATACTACAGGGGGTCTATCTGCTAAACCCTAAACAATGAAAAAGGCTTCAAATTTTGGAGATGTAAGGTTTCGAGATAACAGTTGCTAGAATGGCATTATTCATCCAACAAACAATGTGCAAAATGATAGAATTATTGATATAAGTAGTTTCACAAGTCAGATCATCACACTGATCTAAGAAATAACTGTTGATTTAGGGAATAATAACTGTTATGGTGTTTTCGGTCATCAAATTGTGATCCCTTGTCAACAATAGGCAAAAATCCCCAATTACGCCCAATTCAGCCAACTTGACCCCTGGGACTACCAGAGTCCCGATCTAGCAGACTTGTCAAGTCGATATCTCCCTGGGTCGACTTGAATGACGGTACTTATCGGTCTTCTCGTCAAAGACGACTCGCCACAAGCCTACTCAATTAGTTAATTAGTCGGCATCTCACGGGAACCGACTCGAAAGGCGATACTTCTCGACACCCCTCGATACAAGCCAAAAAGTGACTTCAACCTCGAACCCCCAGCTGACAGGGCGTTGACATTACATTAAATGCTTGGCAGACGCTATCATTTTTCCATCCCGACACTATTTATGACACATTAGACCACGCCGGCTTCGTATGCCGCCTATCCCATCATTAATGCCAAAGTGATCGCGCCCATCCCGTGACCACTCCACAGCCGATACCTGTAAAGTCGACGCTGACTTAGCCACCAGCTCAAACTCAGCCAAAATAGACCAAAATGCCCCTCCTACATGACTATAGAAGGGCAAACTATTCCCAAAGCGAAGGTAAGCAATTTTTTAGCATCTTTCCTCCATTCTATAGCACTTGAGAAATGAGACGGTTCATCTTTTACCCCAATCAAGTACCTTGCTAACTTGATCGTCGGAGGAACAACATGGGAAACTGACCCTACCCTCTTACGAGTTGTTATTTGTGCAGGGAAGAACAACTCAACTCAAAACCAAATATTCCGAGTAGTTAGCAGTCCCTAATCAACTCAGTTCATATTACATGTGTGATTTAGACCATCAACAATAACAGAGACCTGCGTTGTTGAACCCCAGATTGGAATAGACCCCCTCCCCCCCTTGTAGTATCACTATCACCTCCATTATGTAGAAAGAAATGTATTCAGATAAAACCTTCCTTAAAAGAATCAATCTATAAGCAAAAGCAATTTCCAAAACATCCCTGGTCATGGATTTGTGATATGCGTTACCATGGTTCAAAGTTTAGTGCGGACATGTTGGAGGTGTTGAATGCATGTATGAACTGTTACTTGATAACAAATTTCTTAACAAATACATGCTTCAATATTTATGCTCATTAAGCGTTTGACCTGAACATGGAACAGAACCATACTTGAGGCCTAGCCTAGATTTTAAACAGACCAGGCCTAGAGCTAAATATATGTTCGTAGTTTGGTTCAGTTTGAATCTTGGATATCTCAGACATGAACAAAATGAACTTTCATTCGTAGGTTTTATGTAGAATCCAAAGAGAAACATGAACAACTCTAGTAAATTGCCCACATTAGCTACCTAAGACCAAAAACATTTTACTCAGTGCTTCCATCTTTCCATCACAATCCAAGTGTACCCTCTTGAAATACAGATTAACTTGGCGCTTGAGGATAACGATGTATACTAACGTTTGCACTCTTGATATGGTGGGCAGTCCCATGTATACTCGAGGTAGGGAGAAATGCCAAATAATTTGCGACCCCCTCATGTTCTCTAACTCCGATCCATTTATCTCTATGTGCAAAGATACGTGCCCAATCTTAATTGAAGATGTTATGTTCTACAATAATCTGTCTACTCTTTAAGAAAAAACAAGAGTTCAGTAGCTCACTAATTAAGCATAGACCTTTTCTCGCATTAAAGTACAGATTGATATAATTAAGCCTTTTAAGATGTTTGGACATAGATTTACTATTTTGGATTTATAACAAAGTCAGAGATCGAAGAAATCCTCGCTTCCGAAAAATTTAGATCTGTTTCTGAAAAAAATTGTTGCATGATCTGTTTCCGAAAAATTTAATTTGTGGGCCCACATTGTGGGTAAAATCCACGCTGATTTCAAAGGAATAAACACAAACAAACAGCACCTTAGGTTCTAACGACCTGCATATGCCGTTGTTATTTCACTTTGCACTTACCTACTTCAGTTTATTCTACAACTGGAGTTAACTATATTGGCAGGCAGGGACTTATAACTTACCAATTCAATAAGTAAATTTGAATTTATTACTTTTAGCATGCGTATGTTCGTTTTTGTGCAATCTCCAAGACACTAAAATGACATATATTCATAGCCCTTTCCCAAAACAAATTTAAAAAAAAATGAATCCGTATATGTTTTAATAGTTTATACCCAAAATGGTAGCACATTAAATATATTTTATGATGAATATCTTAATATCATGTCGATTTTTATTTCTCTAAAGAAATTACACTATTTATAATTATTAGTGGACTTGATAGAATGCACATTCCGTATAGCATTCTTGTCTTTGGCCTAGTTGATGTCATATACTAACATGCATTTTCTTGTGTAGAAGCACTACCATGGTACAGTTCTGTAAATTCTGTTACTTTCCTTCATCCTCTTAACGTAGTTCCTGGATCTTGTTACATCCTCCAAACTAATCCAAATATTAGGAATGTATACAGTGGCTTATCTTGATTTGATTCTTGGAATAACTTGGTTTACTCTACTGAGGTGGATTGTCTCGGAAATCATCTCTTAAGACTTCTCTAGGGTTCTCTATATGAAAGACACATTTTTAGAATGTGTAGTAACGTTTATATTCATCTCTTGCCCAACGTTCTCTTTCTTGCATAATGATGAGCCCATTTGCCATATAAGTATTTGTTATAGCCTACAAACAACTAAGTATTAATCCTTATCGAAAGGCCGATACGTGTCTTGCTCCACGTCTAATCAGACGTATCCAAAGATGGACGACTCGAGCTGCTCCTACGGTTGACCAATAGACTGACAACCTGTGTAGCCAACTAAAAAGGCGGTGTTTTTCGGCCTACCCACCAGATTGACGTTACAAGCACCTGCACTCGGCTTGCCATTCTAACTGATAACTTGCGTAACCGACTACAAATGCAGTGTTTGTCGGCCTTCAGCCACGCGACTAAAGAGGCGGTGTCCTCGAACCCCCTGTCAATAGCCGACTACCCTCACCTTAAGTGTGCTGCCAGAGTCATCATTGCTCTAGCCCCTATAGTCTTTGTGACTCATCGGACATAATCAATACTAAACACTTGCTGTCGGCCTCACATTAAACACCTGGATGACTCGCCTTCTTCAGTAGTCGACACATGTAAGGTATCTACCGATTCAGCTGCATGTCGAGACTCAGTCAAAGTTATCTATTTGCCCCTCCGATCTACTATAAAAGGAAGTTGTGCTGCCTCTAAGGTAACCTCTCCGGTTTTCTTATAATTTTGAGCAACTTTTCATCACTCACCTCTCATTTTCCTACTCAAGTTCAAACACTAACTTAATCGCCAGATGAACAACTGGAGAACTCAACTCCGGTCTCTCATGAGCTTTTCATGTGCAGGAGAGAACGTCAGGCTCCAGAACCAAGTCATCGGAGGAAGTTTGAGGAACCTAACACCACTATAATCCACAAATTAACCACTTGTTCGATAACTAACATCAATAGTATTACATCGAAGTAAGCTTCATTTACATCCTCCTTTGTCCATTGAACTCACGAATAATATCTCCATTGAAGGTGGAATCCAAGCTTTAAGTTCTTTGTACACTTCCTTAATATCCCTAAACACCTCCTATGTCTGGACTCTCTAGATTAGTGAATGGATACATAAAGTGGAATCTAAGGCTTTGATCTATAACCAAGAGCTCGAAGCTAAATCTGTTTAAGTATAAAACTTTGAGAGAACTTGATATTATTCTCACTACATTGAGGGTCATATATACAGGTATAAAGATGCATGGTTTAATATCCCAGGGAATGTGGGACCATAGGAGTCTATACTATATCCTAGATATTAACACAATCAATTTGTTGCTACACTTTCATCATCATACTCACCTAAAAACACAAATGCTAGCCATATGAACAGATAAATTACACAGGCACAGCTCATTAACATTTCACCCATCTTAAAGGATTTAAAAAATAATAACATAAGATGCAGATTATTAACAATGAAAATAAGGTACTTAACTAAAAGGATGTTGGGACAAATCCGGGGCCCAATAGAACATGGTCGCAGCAATAGTAGAGCAAAAGTAGAAATAAAATGATAGACACACAGATTTACGTGGTTCGGCACTTGATTGCCTATGTCCACGGACAAGGATAGAAGAATTTACTATGAGGAGAAAACTCTGGAGTTACAATCTCTCTTAACAAGGAGATACTCTCTCTCTCTATTTTTTTCTCTCACTCTTCTATATGAGGAGTTGTTTCTAGGATGAGTTTTTCCTTAAGGATTTGGAGCCTATTTATAGTTTTTGAAAAAATACTATGCATAATAAAATAATAATATTTTACTATGAAAAAAATTCACACCAAAGACAACCTAACAGATTTTTTGACAAAAACAATCCATACTGACAAATTTATTTGGTGTCGATCCTCTTGTGATTTGTCGGAGACGTAAGCAACATAAAGATGACAAGATAGAAAGAATAATGTGAAGATATGATTGATACTCAATCAAATCTTCAAGTGGGAGATTATCAGCAGCAGGTGCCTAATAAAGCCAAGCCCATCCAAAACTTTTGACAAATGAAAAGAAAACAAAAAATACGGGCCCCACATCATAGTAAAATATTATTATTTTATTATGCATAGTATTTTTTCAAAAACTATAAATATGCTCCAAATCTTAGAAAAACTCATCCTAGAAGCAACTCCTCATATAGAAGAGTGAGAGAGAAAAAATAGAGAGAGAGAGTATCTCATTCTAAAGAGAAATTGTAACTCCAGAGTTTTCTCCTCATAGTAGTTTCTTCTATCCTTGCCCGTGGACGTAAGCAATCAAGTGCCGAACCACGTAAATTTGTATGTCTATTATTTTAAGAATTTACTATGAGGAGAAAACTCTGGAGTTACAATCTCTCTTAACAAGGAGATACTCTCTCTCTCTATTTTTTTCTCTCACTCTTCTATATGAGGAGTTGTTTCTAGGATGAGTTTTTCCTTAAGGATTTGGAGCCTATTTATAGTTTTTGAAAAAATACTATGCATAATAAAATAATAATATTTTACTATGAAAAAAATTCACACCAAAGACAACCTAACAGATTTTTTGACAAAAACAATCCATACTGACAAATTTATTTGGTGTCGATCCTCTTGTGATTTGTCGGAGACGTAAGCAACATAAAGATGACAAGATAGAAAGAATAATGTGAAGATATGATTGATACTCAATCAAATCTTCAAGTGGGAGATTATCAGCAGCAGGTGCCTAATAAAGCCAAGCCCATCCAAAACTTTTGACAAATGAAAAGAAAACAAAAAATACGGGCCCCACATCATAGTAAAATATTATTATTTTATTATGCATAGTATTTTTTCAAAAACTATAAATATGCTCCAAATCTTAGAAAAACTCATCCTAGAAGCAACTCCTCATATAGAAGAGTGAGAGAGAAAAAATAGAGAGAGAGAGTATCTCATTCTAAAGAGAAATTGTAACTCCAGAGTTTTCTCCTCATAGTAGTTTCTTCTATCCTTGCCCGTGGACGTAAGCAATCAAGTGCCGAACCACGTAAATTTGTATGTCTATTATTTTGTCTCTACTTTTGCTCTACTATTGCTGCGACCCTGTTCTATTGGGCCCTGGGTTTGTCCCAACAAAGGAAACTTTCTTTTTTGAGAAAATAACAAATGAAAGCAGAAGGGGGGAACCTCGAAATGCTTTCAGACTGTGGAGGATACTCCATGAGATTCTCCTTGAGAGAATCCACAAATGTTAATCCATTCATACTGGAAGCAATTGCCTGCAAAAATTACAGTAGAAGACAAGGCAGTGAATAATTACAGTAAGAATTAAATCATAAAATTAAGGAACATTTGAACATGTAATTTTGTTGACTCCCAAAAAAGAAGGGAAATATCGAATTTTGAAGCAAAACCAAAACAAATTTTAATAACAACCACTTTTTCGAAATGACAATACAATGAAAAGGGAACCCGGGGGAAAAAAACATGAGAATTGCCTTGAAAAAAAAATACAGTAAAGCACAAGGTAGTGAATAATACAGTAAGAGTGCACATTAAAAATCTTCGCCAAATAACTCAATTCCTAAAGAAATCATAAAATTAAAAGAACATCCGAACGTGTTATAAGGTTGAAACCCAAAAAAGAGGGGAAAGATTGAATTTTGAAGCAATTTCCAAGTCAATTTTTGATAAAAACCCATTTTTCTAAATGATAAAACAATGAAAAGGGAACAAAAAAAAGAAGGAAAATTGGAGAATTTTGGGTTTTTTTTACCTCACTGAGATACTTTTTATGGGACTGGAAATTATCGAGATAAGCTTCGTCCTCGGGCTCTCTGCTCCTCTTCCCGCTTGTCGGAGAGCACGTGATCTCCGCCGACGAGCACGTGATCGACGTCGGCGACTCGCAACCCATCTCTCTCTCGATCGATCGAAGAGAGGGCTCCTCTCCGTTGTAGGCGACGTGTCACTTGAGAGGAAACCGTGGTCCCGTATTTTGAGTAATGTTTTTTTTGGGGTTTTTCGATATTAGTACCTGACATCATCAGTATTTGATTTTAGTCCCTCAAATCATTGAAATTTGATCTTAGCCCCCCAAATCTTATATCCATGTTGAGATTAATCTCTGCAGTTAGGGGCTGTTTGATTTGGCTGGAATATTCCATTAACATTAACTTTAAGAGTAGGCTGACCATTATACCCCTTTGATTCCAAATCCAAACCTATTACTAGTAAATTCATACCCGTGGTAACATCCTTGAGCTCTCCGCCTCTTTCAGAACACTTCAATAAAAGCCCAACGTCGTTACTTATAATTGCCTCACCAATGGGATGCTGAAGGAGAAGATGACCCATGAGACAATAACGCATTTTCTCTGTAAGCATAGGAAAGTTGACAAAGCTCTCAACTTGTTTGATGAAATGTGCAAGAGAGGGTTGAGATACGGTTGGAACTTGATGTAGTGGTGTGTACTCTTGCCGCTAATAGATTTTGTGATATAGTTCTTCTTGAAGAAGGGTCCACTTTTATATCCTTATGATCATGGGCTAACCTAACGCCGCCACCGTCGTCCTCCTCTCCTCCAAATGGTTTTCTCTAATCCTTGAGGATATTGGTCATGTGGCCATGATATAGAAGTGATAGTTCTGTCAGTAGTGAAGATGGAGAATTTGAGAAGGAGAGGGTGTTGTTTTTGAAAGGGAGTAATTAGAAATGGATAATTTGGTAAACACTTATGTATGGTTACCACGAACTTAACCACAGTTAAGAGATTTTAACAGATTATATGACAGAAGGACTAATATCAACATGGTTATATGATTTGAGGGACCAATATCAAATTTCGATAATTTGGGGGACTAATAATGTCGAAAAATCCCTTTTCTTTTGTTTTTTGGACACGAGGAAAATTGGTATTCACTTATTTGGTGGTAATTTGCATTTTGGTGCTATAAAGTAGCACAAACCTTCGCTTCATATAGGATAATTTGCGTTTTAGTACCATAAAGTTTAAATTTAAAAGAAGGTTTAGTTCCTCGAAGTGTTAAAAATGAACTTTGAGGCCTTAAAATTAAAAAAACAACTTTGAGTTCATTATTGTTGAAAAGTGAATAATGAACTGCGAGAACGATACTAAATTTTTAAAAAAGTATTTTTTTTATACATAGCAGAGTGAAAATTTGTTGCATTTAATTTTCTGAAATTTCCTCAATCCAGATTCGTTCCTTCTCTTCAATAGTAATATACATTCCCTCACGAAGCAAATTAATATAAGACTAGTCTCTGATGAACTGCGCTTTCTACGGCAAACTTCAGAGAAGAAAGCCCTTTCTTGCAAAATGCCACCAACTATATATTGACACTGTGGTCTAAATCCCTAGAGTTCCTGGTGTTTCCGCAGTTTTGACATTTCATGGTAGTTTTTTCTCTAATAAAAAAGTTCATGGTAGTTTTGTGTAAAAATTCTCAAAGTACATGGTAGTTCGATCGGTTAAAGCTAATTATCTTGGAATCGAGTTTGTGCTAATTTCTTACATACGAAGCACAAAATTTGACAAAATTTAAATTTTGCGAAATCCATAGTCCAAAGTGTCAATGAGAAGATGAAAGCAACAATTATGTTGCGGTAGCCCACCTTTGCTCAATAATCTGAGTTTTTAGAATATATTGGAATTTTGTTTGAAATGTTCAAAGTCTGTGCGATGTCTAAAATAGACACGACGACATAATTTCTATTTATCTATGAAATAAACACGATTGCCAAGTCCATTGTGTACTGCTAGAGTTAAAATAATAATGTCGCACTTATCAATAGTTCAATGTCTACAAACAATGCTATAGAAATTAATAATAAATACATAAAAATAATAAAGAATAAAGAAATAAGAGAGAGAAAAAACTACGAATTTGTACTAGTTATTCTCTCTTAATTCCCTGTATTTCCCGAATCAACTCATTCCTCTATAGAGCATCTCGTTGTAACGTAAGCAAGAGAGCTCTCTCTGAAGCTTCATGTCATCATAGAACCTCGATATAAACTCCTCAGCCTTAACATCAATCCCTTTCTCTCCTTCGCCTTCGTCGTTGCTCTTGCTTTCCTCTTTCAACTGACTGAAGTACTCACCATCTGCGTCATCATCTTCTTCGTCATCGAAATCGGCAACAGGAGGATCAATGCATGGAAAGGTTGGTCGGCGATACTTCTTCTTGGATCGAAAGTTTGGGGTTTCATCGAAGCTAAGTTCGTGCTCATTGTAGTAATGCAGCACGTAGTGGTCGTTATTGTGGTCGTCGGTGAAGAGAGACTTGAGATTATTGAGAGCGAGGCAAAGGAGCTGACGCCAGGCCGGACTTTGATTTCCGCGCCTCCTCGCCATCGAAGTTTGAAACTTAGCTTAGAAGGTGATGAGATAGAAGAGATACTGATGAATGATAAAATGTTAGAATGAGAATTATGGGAGTAGTGCTTGTTTTTGGTTTGATTTTTAAAGGTCAGAGGGGGTGATATCTTCGTACACGCGGTTTCTTGAGAGTGGGGGTTTGCCAAGCTGTTTTTGTTTTTGCTAGTTTGGCCAAGCTGTTGCTTGTGTAAATAACACATGCAAATCTAGCTACATCTACGATCCTATTTCTCTAATTTTAGGTGTTTGGTTACGTAAAAGAATCCTAAAGTTTTGATATCGTATAAAATTAAGAGTTAACTCCTTGCTTGCACATAGACCCCATGTATTTTCAATTTGGCAGATAGACCCGTTGAGCGAATCTTTCTAACTTTTTTTTACCTGTAAAAAGATTCATTAATTTACCCCGGGGATAATATCGGGTAAAAGAGTTTTAAAAAAAATTCACTTAGGAGGTCGTCTATAAGCCAAATGGAACTACAGGGTAGTCAGTTCAAATTAAACATCAATTCTGCAACAAAAGTTTATTGCGTAACAAACCCTGAAAACAGTTCCTATTATAACTGTAAATTATTTTTTTAACTTTTGTAATCTTAGTTTTTCATGAACCGCACTGTACATAATATCTGCGGGCAATTTGGAGGAAGTTGAAGGAGTCTTTGTTTTTTGTTTCTTTGTGAAAAGCAAGCTGTATTTGTTTGCAAGGCAACTTGCTTATTGTGGTGTCCTTTAACTCAAAAAAGTCCTAATTTGTTCTCTTACTTCACTTTCAAGCACCAAAACTTTCACAAGTTCAGGCTTTTTCTTTTCTTTTTTTTTAAACGAAAGAATGGGTAAGGGGAGGTGCATCAGTTCTAGAATTGGCAGTAATCTTTAACCGCTTGCCTAAATTCCTTTCTGTCACAGTTGTTCTTGAGATGATAGTGGTGGCTCTAAAGTGCAAGCAAACCTTAAAGAAGCAAAATGGAGTCTTTTACACTACAAAGTACAGCCTCATGCTTGCACTCCTGAACAATCTAGTTACAATTCTTTTTACTCCAAAAAAAAAGAAAGAAACATAAATGCAGGTATAATTCAAAATGTATAATCGTGTCGCAATCTTTCAACAATATTCCTAGATAAGTGCAAGATATTACATGCATTATGCATGCAAACAACCAAATAACGAAAGCTGTCGATAAAAAAGGTTACGATCGAAAACCAGAAATACAACTTGTAATACTACTTACCGTGAAACTACAGGTGAATTAAATGTACGTGGAACCAGAGGCACAAGAAAAACTGCTCAATTTCCGGGATTGCTACTGTATTTCCTTTTTGTTGTAGTTCTCACCCTGTGCTCTGAAAAGTATAGCCAAACAATAATGGATCTGTAAGTGTTTGATTCAAACCCTGGTCAAGTGGTCTACAACAGAGTTTGTTCATCATAGGCCACATGTTTGAGATTCAGATTGAGAGCTCGTAGCGCCCCAGATCGATATCTGTATATCCGCCCTACAAAAATAATTCAGAGGCATTTTCAGTTCATGGAGACAAAGAGACATTGTTAATTATATATGTAATTATGTCAAATTCATGTATTATCGATTTTATCGTATCGTAATACCAAAATCCAATAGTTAAATGGAACTTCTAAAATAATCAAATGACAAATGCATATTAACATGAAAAAGTAGAAGAAAACTGATACACAAACATGCACATACAAACACAAACTATGAGCGCACATAAAAACACACATATATACATCCAGATCCACGCGCAGAGATCCATTCAACAAATTACTCCTAGAATCTTGCATGGCCTTAAAAGTCTTAAAGGATCATACCCTCCCTCAACCTATTTCTGCACAATCAACACCAACCAAACAAGTTTCCTGCCAGAAACAACCCCAACAAATCGATGGCGTAAACCATCAAACCAACCAAATCAGAAGGGCCTTATCGTCTTTTCGACAGACGAAACAACCTTTTTACCATAATATACATATCCACACTAAATCCGTGCATCCAACCATTTTTCAAACCCCAAACACACACTATAAATCATCCTCCACATCCTCCTAAGCCTCTCGTGGGACGACAAGAATCAGAAACAATCTCCACCTCAAGGGCCAAACACAAAATCCTTCTCCGCATTCCAATGGAGAAAGAAGCAAATGGCCCCCCCGCCGCCTCCCCGACGGTCGCCACCAAGAAGCGTGGCCGGCCCATGACCCTATTCCGGTCAGTAGTGCTCGCTTTCCGCGGCACCTCCTCGAAGAAACGCTGGTTGGTGGCGTGCGTCCTCTCCATCATCAGCTCGACTATGCTTGCCCTCCACCTCCTCCTCCACCATCCATGGCTCTCGACGCATATTATGACGTGCATATGCCTCCGCCATCGCCATGCTCATCTGACGCAATGAGTCGCTATGCGTCAGCAGAGGACCTTCAATCGCTCGACAAGAGTGACGACAATGGAGAGGAGGACATCGGTAACGGAGAGGCAAACGCCATTGATATGAAGGCTGAGGAGTTCATCGCAATGTTCTACAAACAGATGAGACTGCAGAGGCTGGACTCGCTTAAAATTCACGGTGAAGCAGCAAAGAAAGAGGAGCAACTGGATTCGTCGGAGATCGTCGAGGAGGAAGCGACGACCGAAAAAGCTGCGGAGGACGCCGCAGCGGAAGAAGCTGCATGCTGAGAAATAGATGGCCTCGTTTCAAAGCAACGGGGTGGGGGAATTTGGCACGGGGCTGGGTTTGTGATCTGATCCAAAGGAATAAATGACCAAAGCTGAAAGTTTTCATGTTTCTCTGAAACGATTAGGATCATGTTTTTTTTTTTTTTTTTTTTTTTGTGTGTGGGAGAATAGAGAGAATGTGTGACCATGCAGGAGATTGTTACTGCACAGAGAAAATGACTTGGAAAACTGAGGTTTAACTTCCGCACCATTTTCGACGAGGTTTATATTATGCAGGGTTGATTGTTGCTGAGTTTAATCATTGATTAAAGTTCAATAATAATCTATATGCAGTGCAATAAGCTAGCTATTTAGTTCAAGATTAATCCAGTACTTTGGCAATTTCCTAAAAAAAAAAGCAAGTTTCGTTTTCCTAGAAATTAACCTCAAAATCTGAAAGAATATCAAGTTTAATTTTCTCTATATATCTATCTAATTATTAATCTCAAATATCCCATCCTCCCTCCATGGCTGCATCATGTTCTTCCATACGGTTGTTTTGAGGGGCTTTATGAGTAAAAGTTCAGGAGAGCATCTGGTACAGTTGAGGTTGAAGGACTCCAGAGGAAGTGAGTGTTTGTTTCCGAGGGGGAAATGTGAAAAGGGCAAGAATGTCCTTTCTATTTTTCAGCGGTTTTCAAATTTCTGTCATTTAAGAAATTATAAAAATGCACCGAAGCATGCCTCTTAAACTAAAAGCCTCAGAACTAAATTAGCCCCGGTACAAAGTTGAAATCATCAAGTCCAGCTCTCCTAGTTTCATTTGAACACAAAAAAAATCCATGCCATGATTAAATTTGAGCAGAACCCATGGAGAAAAGATTGATATTTTATATCCGACCCTAGTTGCATATGTTCGTGTATAAGCGGATATGCATAGGCCTGTCCAAAAAGCCCGTCGGCCCGGCCCCGGCCCCGGCTCGAAAATCCGGGATCTGGCCGGGTTCTGGGCCAGGGTACGGGCTGCGCCTCAGCGACGGCCTCGCCTCGGCCCGGCCCGGGCCCGAACAGCGGGCCGGCGCCGCGGCAAAAATCCGGGCCGGGCAGCCGGGCCTGGACCCGCGCCGCCGCGATGGCAACGGGTTCGCATAAGGTGACGTTGGCCGAAATTAGGCGCGGCCCGGCCACAACGGTGCACAGAAAAGCAGTGACCATTGTGGCCAAAAACGGCCGGACCGGGCCGGGCCGGGCCTGGCCCGGTCTGGCCACAACGGTCAACGAAAATTGAACCATTGTGGCCGCCCGGCCGCCTAGGCGCATAAACGGCCATAAACGGTCTTTTGACCGTTTTGTCCCAAAAACGGTCAAAAACGGCTATTTTGTGAGGTTATTTTGGTCATTTGCTTAGGGGCTAGTTCTATAAATAGAGGGGGGGTTTTCATTTGTTTTCTTCACACCAAAACTCATCTACTTCTCTCTTATACTCTCTTATACTTTCTAATCCTTTCATCAAATGGCTTCCGGATCTGATTATGAAAAGCAAAACCTATCTCCCGATCTTGAAATGAGTCCTCCTACTGGGTCTACTCCTACCGAAGTTAATCCCGAATCCGGTGGCGATGAATCTGCACCAAGAGCTCCTAAAAGGCCAAGATCCGATGTGTGGAATTTTTACGAGAAGATTGACGTCACCAAGGATGAACACGGCAGGATCCTCATCCAGAAGGCTAAGTGTGCGTTGTGCGGCAAGATTTTTCAAGCTCATCATAAGAGCGGCACCAACCACCTCAAACGCCATTTAGATAAATACAACAAAGGCCAGACTCCTCAAGGTGATATCCGACAATCTATGATTTCTCAATCCTCCTCTTTTGATAGTCTCGGTAGTTGGAACTATGACGCTGCCAGAGCCAAAAAATGCGTAATCAGGTTTATCATTCTTAAAAACCTTTTTTTTAAATTAGTAGAAGATGATGAATTTGAAGATATGTTTAGAGATGGTTTTTATCCTGCATTTAAAAAATTTTCTCGTCAAACCTGCCAACGTGATATTTTAAAACATTTAAAAAAAATTCTCGTCAAACCTGTCAACGTGATATTTTAAAATATTATCAGGAGGAACAAGAAAAAATAATTTCTTATTTTAAAATTTTAAACTGTAATTTTTTTTTAACTTTTGATATTTGGACATGTAGAGCACAAACTGGATATTTATGTATCACAGCACACTGGATTGATGAAAATTGGCAAATGTTTAAAAGAGTTATTTCTTTTATTGCAATAGAAGAGTCACATACTGGTATTAATGTTGCAAATTTAATAATTGAAGAACTTATGAAATTAAAAATTTCAGAAAGAATATTTTCTCTTTCACTAGATAATACAAGTAATAACAATGTAGCTGTTGATTTTATCAGATCAACTTTGTCATTGCCATGTCATTGTGATCTTTTTCATATTAGGTGTATCTGTCATATTTTAAATTTAATTGTTCAAAGTGCATTTACTAAAATTAAACCCATGATAGAAAATGTTAGAACAGTTGCTTATATGCATAATGCTTCTGAACAAAGACTTAAAAGATGAAAATAATTTTGTAAAAGAAAAAAATATAAAGCCCAGATTAATTCCAAAAGATATTGACCATAGGTGGAATTCCACCTATGCAATGTTAAGTGTAGCAATAGAATATAAAGACATTATAACTGATTTTATAAATTATTATGCTTCTAGTTCTAGTTCTGGTAGCACTTATGGAATAACTGAAGATGCATGGACAATTATATGTAATTTAAATAAAATGTTACAAGTTTTTTTATGATGCTATAATGTTATTATCCAACCATTACTTTAGCTGTTTTACAAATTTTAAATATTCAAAATTTTTTTGGGAAATATCGTATGGATGATACTTTTGGACCTATGATTTTTCAAATGGAAAGCAAATTTAATAAGTACTTTAGGCCTATTCCTCATATTTTTGGTTTGTGGGTTTTTATTGATCCATGCTTGAAGGATGTTGGCCTTCGAAGTTTGTTACAATCCTTGTATGGTAATCGGATTAGACTTAGATGATGGAACCACCATTACTGCTACTACTCATCATTTAGTTATTAGAAATTATTTTCAAACCTTATATAATGAGTATGCAGCTAGGCATGATGTAGCTACACAACAGTCTACATCTTCGGTTTCTTCGAGCTCATCCCGAGGTAAAAGTGTAAGTTTTGATAGGTATGCAATGGTAGCTGAGCTAACTGGTGGATCTGGACTTGGATCGTCATCATTGGAGGTTTCTGAAATAGATGAATATTTATCTGCTTCTTTAGTTAAATGTCAAGGAAATGTTTTAGATATTTTATAATGGTGGAAAGTATATGGATCCGTTTCATATCCTATACTTTTCACCATGGTTCGTGACTTACTAACAGTGCAGGTTTCGACGGTAGCTTCGGAATCCGCCTTCAGCACAGCAGGACGTTTGATCGACGACCACAGGACATGTTTAGATCCGTATACTGTATAAGCGGTGATGTGCTTACAAGATTGGTGGAGGTACGAGAAGCGAACGCAAGGCATCGATCGGATGGCTGGAATTGAAGATAAATTTAAAGAATTAGGACTAGCAGATAGATATAAAGAATAAATAATATTAATCAAATTGTAATTTTTATATCTTAGCTTAAAATTTGTAAAGAATTATTTTGAAAATAGTTACAAATGATAGTGATATAGGTGAGTAGGTGCCAACCTAGTTGGGATGTACTTATCTATTGTGATGCGATGAATTCCAAAATAAATTTGTACTTGTAATTTGTAAATGATTTATTAATTATTAATAAAGAATTTGTTTTTATTATTTTTTATTTGTAATTTATGTCATTTTAAGTGATTAATAAAATTATTATTTTTATTAAATTTTCTTGTTTTTTGTATAATTTAAATAATAAAAAAAAGAAACCAGTCGGGCCCGGAACCCGGCCCGGACCTGGCCCGGGGTACCCGGGTCCGGGTCCGGGCTCCGGTTTTGCCCGGCCTGGGCCCGGATTTTTGGGCCGGGCCGGCTCGGATGGACAGGCCTAGATATGCATGTGGATACAAAACGATATAGAACTAAAAAATATTAGGGAAAAATATATTTCATGTGATATAAAAGAGTTCATTAATATATTCATTATATCTGAAAAGCTAAGATTAGACATCTTGATCATTAAAATTATTCTCAAATTCAAATTTAAGGATTAAAACTATTATAATAATATAACTAATATATATTAGAAAATCGGATATTTTTAGATATTGATATTTTATTAGAAAATCGCATTCTTAATCGTATTCTATCGGTTATAGATTTGAGTACTAAACCTATGAACTAGCTCAGAGATCGAAGAGGCTCTGGTTCTCAAATTCCTCGTTGAACTCCAAATTCGAGTGCCAAGCTTAGAACTCTCTCTCGCTACTGCTTGAGCGCAGGTAAAATATGAAGAAATGCGGAAACTAACCATTTTTCCATTTATTATTATCATTAATTTGGAGAAACTCCATTTCTTGAATCCATATTCCTTTAGAAAATTATCAAAGAAATAAAAAACACATTACAAAATTCTTAGAAAAAGTTATTAGGGTAAGTAAGTGAATGACCTCTTTGGATTGCAACTTCGAATAAGAAGGAAAAGTGGTTCTATGAAGGTGATGTGGGCCAACCCACCACGTGAAGAGCTGAACTGGGCAACGCGTGAAGAGCTGGGTTCATGTGGGGGCCACCTTCATGAAGTTAGCGCGTGAAGAAAGAAGAAAGCGCGTGAAAGGGAAGTTCACGTGAACAAGAATTCATGAGCAGAGAAATTGTTCAGCGGACAAAAGCCCACTCGATTGCTTGCTTCTTATAAATACACATTGGTTTCTAGTTTTTTTGTGAGCAAATGAGGGTTTTGCTGCGGTTTGCTTTGTGGAAGTACGGCGCAGGCAGAGCAGAAGAAGGAAATAGCAGAAACAGAGGCGGCTGCAGAGAAGAAGAAAAGTGCGGCTGCAGGAGAAAAAGTCAGCGGCTTTCTTTGGCTTCGTGCAAATAGGCTTTTGTGTTTTTGAGAGAGATATTTGGGTGAGGGATTTGAGAAATTATTTGAGGGTTTAGGTTGTGAGATTGTAAACCCTAGTTGTATTCTCTCCCTCTATTAGTAGATCTCCCCCTCATCCTTGCCCCGTGGGCGTAGACAGTTTGTCTAACCACGTAAAATTGGTTTGTTTGTGTTTGTGACCATTGTAATAGTTTTTTAGGATCCCTCGACAAGTCAGTCCTAGAACTGATGAGAGGAAGAG